CCCCCCCCCAAAAAAAGAAATGTTTGAAATTCTCAATTTAAAACACAAAAGGCACAGAATATAATCCAGCAATTAGAAGCTATGGACTCACTAATTTACAAAGACCTTCAGAATATAAGCATTAAAGCATTATTCCAATATTCCATGCTTTCAATGTTCTAGTACCCATAATGTTACTCTGAATCTCAGCAGTCACTTACTGTTCTTCCTTTATGCTATGTACTGATTTCTTCCACTCACACAGGATACTCTGCTATATATTAGCAAAACAAAAATAAAACCATTTTTCCTTATTTTACTTCTCTATCCTTCAAAGGCCTAGAAAGATGAGTATGTGTACACACACACATACACACACACTCTCTCTCTCTCTCTCTCAAAGCCCTTCTTTCAGGATGAAAATCTGTTATAAAAATATGATGAGATGGGCTGGGAAGGTGGCTCAGTGGTAGTGCGCTTGCCTTGCATGCCAGAGGCCCTGGGTTCGATTCCTCAGCACCACATAAGCAGAAAAAGCTGGAAGTGGCACTGTGGCTCAAGTGGTAGAACGCTAGTCTTGAGCTGAAAAGCTGAGGGACAGCGCCCAGGCCCACAGTTCAGGCCCCACGTCCAGAAAAAAAAAATGATGAGATATAAAATATAAGAAAAGGTCAAAAAGGCTTAATAAGGACACTGTGAAAAGGATGAGGATCAAAAGGAAGAAAAGAGAAAGCAGACTTTAAAATAATTATACTGATCATCATTACAATGGTCTTTCCTAACGTATGATTGTTGACAGAGTGTCCAATGGAACTGCATTTTGTCCTTTCTCCCGTTCAATTACCTACATTCTATGCCTTTCTATCATGCATGACAAACATTTCAGACTTGCCCCAATTTCCTTTCCTTGGGAGACCTTCTCTATAGGAATTAAATTAGGCAAGCATGGTCCTCTGTATAAGTCCCTACCTGTGTCTCGACTGCTCTGGGACATGGAATCATTCTCCACATTACAGATGACTGTCCCCTGAGAATCAGAAGAGAAGTGACTGACCACAGACTCATGGTGGGAGTGTTTGTAGAGATAACTCTCCGTTGAAGAATCTGTTCGAGTGTCACTTGAGATGGAGGGCTCCCTCCCTAAGGGAACGAGGAAACACATATGCAAAAGTGAGGAAATAAAAGAACAGTGAAAAAGAAGAAAAGAGATAGATGCACAAAGATCCCTAAGTAAGAACTTCCTAGAAGAAAGCCTGAGAAGAAGACGCCACAGAGCCATTCTTCCCAATATCCAACTTCAGGTAATCCAAACACACAATTCCATCCACCTCTGCCCTTATCTTACAGAAATCCTGCCACTGTGAAAAACTGTGGGGATTTTTAGAAAATCTATTGAGGTAGTGGGGGTATGTGGAAGAAATGAAAAAGTTGTGAGAAGCAAAATCTATTTAGAGGGAAAGCCCCAGGCCAACTTGTTTTGCATACCAGTTCTTCACCCATCCCATAATCTGTCTTACACTCTCATGAATGTCACTTTTTTAAAAAACTGACATTTTTATATGCATTTTAATATCTCTGAGAAATTATGGGGCTTTTATTTAATGTGTAGTTAATTCAATGGAAGGCTTTCTTCTGAACACTTAGCTGAGATAAACACAACAAAACAAATGGGTATTTGAAGGGAGAACTAGAGCAGGTCTGGGTGGGGTATAAAAGTAGGAAGAAAGTGGCAAGGGCCAAGAAAGAGGGAGGTGCAAAAGGGAGGGAGGAAGACTAAAGACAAGTGTCTTCTCTTTCAAAAATGGACTAAAGGTCTGCTCTAGATTCAGTAGAGTAAAATTACATTTCTTCTTCATCCTTTTCAGAAATTAAGCCAAAATTTATTCATTATGAGTCTCTGTGGACTAGCTTGAGAGTTCAGTCATCATAATGGAAACTATTTTTATAGGAAATATTATTTTGACCCAAATAATTGACTTAGAAGTGAACAAGTGATTTATATGATAAGGAAAATCACTACTGCGTTTGGAATTTTAAAACAAAACTGTCTCAACCTCCCAAAAAAAGGATTGGCTTTGTAGTTAGTGACTCAATTTATTTTATCTTGACAATTTACATAAGCCACTGTTAAGCTCCTAATAAGAATCAGTCTTCTTTAGATTTTTAGAGGGCTAAATACTAGTTCTTACAAACTTAGTATTTCAGTATAAATAAGTGTAATTTTTTCCTTAATTTGAGTTGGAGCAAACTAATTTATGTAACATACCCTTGAGGCTAAAGGAAACAAAGCCTGACACAGTTCGGCTTTGGCACTAATTGGTAATTCTTATGCCTAACGAATCTTAGGTTTAATGAAAGGTAGGGTGCACTGATAAAGTGGAGCAGGGAGCAGGGAGCAGTAAAGGGCTAGGCTACTCACCTGAGTCTTCACTGTCATAGCATGCCCTGCTGGATGACTGGAACTGGGATTGGGATGGCAGGTCCTGGGTAGACACTGGGGTGCCTTGGGGATCTGCATAAAGCAACAGTAAGGGCTGATAGTGCCCTTTGATGCATTTGGTTACCACATCCTTCCATTTGGGCCCAATCTGAACCAGAACAACCAGAAGGACACAACCATTAATTATACTTCATATCCGTAATTCAAAACGTATCTTCAGCCAGGCGCCAGTAGCTCACTCCTATAATCCTAGCCACTCAGGAGGCTGAGATCTGATGATCACAATTCAAAATCAACGAATAGAAAAGCCCTATTAACTACCAAAAAGCCAGAGGTGGAGCTGTGGTTCAAGTGGTAGAGAGCTAACCTTGAGCAAAAACCACTCAAGAGATAGCATCCAGGCCTTGAGTTTCAAGCCCCAGGAAATATACCAAAGAAATAAAATAATAATCTTCTCTCCTTTCTTTCTCTCTCTCTCATTATCTGTCTCTGACCATGTGTCTCTGTCTCTCTCGCACTCTCTTTCTCTCATGAGGATTGAACCCCTGGTCTCTTACATGCTAGCCAAGTTCTCCACCACTTGAGGATTATCCTAACTCCTTTTGTTTGGCTGGTTTTCAGGATACAGTGTTGCAGTCGGGTGCTGATTGCTTGTGGTTGTAATCCTAGCTACTCAGACTAAGACTTGGAGGATAGTAGTTCAAAGCCAGCCCATGAGACCCCATCTCCAATTAACCAGCAAAATGTCAGACTGGTGGCATAGTTCAAATGGTAGCATGAACTATGAGCAAGAAAAACAGTGGGAGCATAAGCATCTGAGATCAAGCTCTAGTACCAGTAGAGAGAATGAAACAGAGACACAGAGACAGAAAGGATAGTTACAACAGAAAGAGATGACAGAAACAACAGAGGGATTTGCTGACTTTGAACACTTTCCTCCTGCCTCTGTCTTCCAAGTAGCTGAGATTACAAATGTGTGACACTATGCCTGTTTTATTATGAAAAGAAATGGCAGTAATAACAATGATGATGATGATGATGATGATGATGTAAGAGCCGGGCGCCTGTGGCTCATGTTTGTAATCCTAACTACTGAGGAGACTGAGATCTAAGTATTACAGTTCAAAAGTTCAAAGCCAGCCTGGGCAGTAAAGTCCATGAGACTTATCTCCAATTAACCACCAGAAAACTGGAAGTGGTGCTGTGGCTCAAGTGGTAGAGCTCTTGCCCTGATCTGAAGAGCTGGGGCCCAGAGCTCAAGCCCCACAACCAACCAACCAAACAAACAAACAAACAAACATACAAATAAATAAAGGTATTTCAAATCTCTATGAATTTTTGTTGTTGTTAAACCTTTTTCTGCTGAATCCTTTACGAAACCACTAAAGCCCTGTAAAAGGATGAATAAGATTGCTTGTGTCAGCTGGGCACCAGTGGCTCACGCCTGTAACCCTAGCTACTCAGAAGGCTGAGATCTGAGGATTGAGGTTCAAAGCCAGCCCGGGCAGGAAAGTCCATGAGAGTCTTATCTCCAATAAACCATTAGAAAACTGGAAGTGGTGCTGTAGCTCAAGCACTAGAGTGCTCGCCTTGCGCTGAAGAGCTAAGGGATGGCGCCCAAGCCCAAAGTTCAAGCCCCACGACCAACAAAAATAAATAAATAAAAGCACTCAACTGGGCACTGATGGCTTAAAACTATAAGCTTAGCTACTTAGGAGGCTGCAAATCTAAGGATTGTACTTCAAAGCCAGCCCAGGCAGAAAACTGTGAGACTCTTATTTTTTTCTTTCTTTCTTTTTTTTTTTTTTGGTTGTAGAGCTTGAATTCTGGGTTGGGCTCTGTCCTTGAGCTCTTAAGTTCAAGGCTAATACTCTATCTACCACTTCAAGCCACATCATCATTTTCAAGAGACTCTTATTTCTAATTAACCACAAAAAGCCAGAAGTGGAGCTATAGCTCAAGTGGTAGAATGCTAGCCTTGAGCACTAAAGCTCAGGGACAGCGCCTAAGCCCAGAGTTCAAGCCCCGGAACTGGCTCCCCCCCAAAACAATTGAAAAGAATAAAAACTCTCAAGGGTGAATAAAAAAATAAATTAAAAACTATAAAAGCTCTTCTATGTGAGAAGGCTTCAGATCACTAGTAACCAATTTTTTGAATAGATATCAGATTTTAAAAACCTCATTTAAAATTTGCATTTCCATAATTTTCTCCCAACAAATAAAATTTCTTTCATGCAGCTAAAAAGCAGTGAGGAACTATCTCAGACTACCTCAGAATAAATTATGACATTCAGCCTGAGAGTTCACACTTGACAGGACACAAAATGTCAAACTGCTTAGAATAGACAGCTGGACCTCTATCCCTTATCCCTGTGATAGAGTCAGCTGTGCTATCACAGCAAAAAAGACTAACAGAACAGCCATGGAAACAATACAACCAAATCCCCAGACTCATCTCATCTTAAGCTTAAAACAGGCACATGCTTAGATGTGAGTTGTGTTCTGCCAACTGGACAACTAGCATGTTGCTTTGTTCATAACAGATAGCAGTAAATTTATAACTGAGTTACTGTATCAGTATTTTAATTGAAGCACATATAATTTACACATAAAATTCTTATTTAATACTTTGTATTTCTTAAAAATAACAACAACAACTACTAATGAGCCCGGTCCAGTGGCTCACCCTTGTAATCCTAACTACTCAGGAGGCTGAAATCTGAGAATTGAGGTTCAAAGCCAGCCCAGGCAATAAGCCACTAGAAAACCAGAAGTGGTGCTGTGGCTCAAGCAGTAGAGCGCTCGCCTCGAGCTGAAGAGCGCAGGGACAGCGCCCTTGCCCAGAGTTCAAGCCCCCCCCCCAAAAAAGAAAAAACTAATGATGAAATAGTTTATGTAAGTTGCCCCAAATTATAATAATAAAGAAAAACAAAAGGGTGAGTAGGGGGGAAATGAGAGAATTTGATGAAAACTACTTTGTTTGCTTTTGGTGCCATGAGGGGTGCTATCTCTTAGCTTAAGGCTGTTGCTATACAACTTGAGAATTCTACTGTTTAAATTCTATAGACTGGAAGAGTCTGCACCTTGTACTTCTACTTTTATCAAAAGGGGCTTTCTAACTCATATAGATGAACTAAACCTCTTGATCCACTGAGTCTATGGATTAGACATAACTAAATTTCCTGCTTTAAGTATCAGTGTGGTCCTATTTCCTCTACACTAAGCCAAAAATATGTAAACCTTTGAGAGAGGGCTGGGAATGTGGCTTAGTGGTGGAGTGTTTGCCAAACATGCATGAAGCACTGGGTATCCCCATCCTTAGTACCCCATAAACAGAAATAGCCAGAAATGGTGCTGAGCAAAAAGAAGCTCAGGGACAGTGCACAGGCCTTGAGTTCAAGCCCCAGACTGGCCAAAAAAAAAAAAAAAAAATTGAGAGAACACTTCAAGGAAATAAGATTGGAGGATAATTTTATCTCAGTCTTGAGTCAAATTATCACCTATTAATAATTCTAATATTTCAAATTCTAAACTTTAAATGAGTTACTTGGTGGATTTGAGTCAATTATAAATGGACAATGTTGAATGTCTGTGAGGAAACAAAATAATGGAGGATATCATTTATTCTCAAAGAAGTACACATCTATTAGGAAAGACAAGACATAAAGTATGCCTTACACATGGCATGGAATAACTATTCAAAATTATGAAAACAATACTAAAGACAAATAATCATCTGACTTTCCATGCAATCACCAAACACTTCAAGAAGACCTTGAAGACGCATTCCTACCTCCTTGACATGAGCATCATCAAAATACATCCATTTGCGGATCTTTGTTTGAAAAAAGAATGTAGAATAGTGTTTGCCATAGTAGCAGATCATTCCTACTAAGTACAGTTCAGACTGCTTGGCCCGGTCATCTGTCACTCTGAAAAACAGCTGTAGAAAAAAATGGAAAGAACTATCACACATTCAACATCTCACATCCTCTCTCAGCAGACTCTATCAACTTTTTTCTCCTTAACTACTGGTGATAGAGCCCTGGGCCTAACTCATGCTAGACAAGTACTCTGCCACTTGAGTCATGCCTTCAACCGTTTTGAGAATTTTGTTTTATTTAGTTTTTTCCGGTCCTGGGACTTGAAATCAGGGTCTGGGTACTGTTCCTGAGCTTCTTTTACTCAAGATTAGCATTCTACCATATGAGCCAGAGCCCCACTTCAGCTTTTTTGGTAATTTATTGGAGATAAAAGTCTCAGGGAAGGGCTGGGAAGATGGCTCAGTGGTAGAGTGCTTGCCTTGCATGCCTGAGGCCCTGGGTTCAATTCCTCAGCACCACATAAGTAAAAAGAAAAAAGCCGGAAGT